GGGGGGGCCCCCGCCCAGCCTGACGCTGCCCGCCATCACCTGCAAGTCCCTGACAACCTTGGATCCAGCATCATCTAAAAATACAGCCGGGGGACGTGCAGGGGCTCATCTGCTGTTGTTTTCCCAGCTGCGGGAGCGGTGTGACCCGGCGCCGGCTCTTCCTGGAGCTGGGAGGGCTCTCTGCCAGTGCAGAGTCGCTGCTGATGCCAGCCCTGACCGCTGCATCAAAAACAGGCAGCCGGGAACACCCGGGGACACGAGGGCTAAAAAAGCAGGAGCCCCGCGGGGCATGGCGAGCAGCTGCGCCCAGCAGACGAGGACCCTGGGCGCAGGAACACGGCCGCAAGCAGCGAGGCTCCCAGCAGGAGCCCAGCCCCAGCAACCATCCCCGAAGCTGGGCTCGCCACCCTGGCCCGCCCTCCACCCCAACATCCCAGTATCATCCCAGTGACAGCCTGGGGGACCCCGGGGACCAGCGCTGCAGCCAGAGCATCTTCCCCATCCACTGCGGGCTGCCACGGCCCCCAGACAGGCAGGCTCCTCTCGCAGCACACCAGCTCATGACGCGAGGTCTGGGAGCCTCGTGGGAGACAAAAGGGGACGCAGAGAGCCGAGGGGGATGATGTTGCAGAAAAGTAAAAATAAAAATGCAGGAATGATGACCTCGGGCAGAGCCTGGGGGGATCTGAATGGTGGCTCTGTGCCGGCGGAGGGGCAGGGCAGAAGGCCACATGCAGCCGGTCCCAGCAGCTGCTCGGGACAAACAGGACGTGGAGAAAGGGAGCAGAAGAGGAGGGTGAGCTCACAGCATCGGGGCCCCGGGAGGCCCCCAGGAGCTCTGCCCTTTGCTGGGCAGGCTTGGACCCCAGCACCCCCGCTCCCACCTCCAAGCCTTGCTGTCTCAGGGCGGCAGCAGGGCACGGGGCGCTGCTTTGGGGTGCTACAGGGATGCAGGGCTGGATCCAGCATTCGGGGGGCTTTGCAGGGTGGGCTAGTTTAGCACATGTGATAAGAGCACCCCAGGGCCCAGGCTGGGAGCTGCTGCCCTCAGGCACCCCATGGTGCCAGGGTCCCGCTGGGCTCAGCTTCGCGCCCTTCCCCTCCTGCTGCCCAGTGCCCACCGGTGCCAGAGAGGGATCCTACCTGCTGGCGTGGGACCCGGCCAGCCACGCTGCCTCCCTCCGCGCCCGGCCCCGCTGCCTTTCAGAAAGCGTACGAGCCAAAGCGAGTTCTTGGGCTCATTTCAGCGGTAACCAGGCAATTAAAGAAGGTCAGAGCATGAGCTCATACTCCCCTTGCACTCAGGGAAACTATAAAAAGGCTGAAGCAGAGCATGTGAACTAACGCAATTAACGGAGCAATTGGCCGCTGGTGGGGAAGGGAGGAGCTGGCCCAGTGGGCCCCCATTTGCATTAGGGATCCCGGGCAGATGCTTGGAGCGGCTCGGAGTGGAGGGCCAGCCCTGTGCGGAGCTGCGGGCCTGGAGCTGCGCGGTGGGCTGCAGCCAGGCGCTCCGGCCCCGGTCCCCACGGCCGAGCCTCTACCCACCCCGCACGCCGCCGGTGCCTGAGCCCTTGCAGCACTCGTGATCTCTACTGCTGACGAAAGGGCTCTCGCAAGCTCCCAAGGAAACGGGAGGCAAGCACAAAGCCCTCCCTGGCGCCGTCCTCCCGCCGAACAAGCCAGCAGCCCAGCTGTACCTCCTCCGGTCTCGGCTTGTTTTCACAGCGCGTCCTTTGGCCGCTCACTAATCCCCGGACAAATGTTCATTACTGAGGCTGCCCCAGCGGCTTGCGGCCCACGCTGCGGCCATCCCGCCCGTCCCCAGTCCTGTCGCCCATCCCAGCCCTGCTCCCGTCCCCGTCCCCGTGCCCCGGTGGAAGGGACTTCAGCAGGGAACAGAGCTCCGGGAGCGCTGGGTGCTGTGCCGGGGGACTGGGAGCTGTGCCAAGCAGCAGTGGTTTGTGTCAGGGTGTACTGAATCTGGGGCTTTGGCTCTTATGCTGATTGTTTTTGTACAACTTCTGATTGCTAAATCACACAATTCTGCCTTCGAGTAGGTACTTTCAGTCGTTGAACCGTCCCAAAGAGCTGCGAGAGACACTTCCCGCTGCTGTGCTTTCAGGCCGATTCAGAGCGGAGGCTGCGCGCTGTGCTGAGGGCTGCTGTGAATACAGAGCAGCCCCGATGGCTCGCACCCGCGCCGCCCGGGGTGGCTCGGAGGGGGAAGCTGCCACAAGCCCTGCGTGCCTGCAGGTGTGCACGCAGGCGCACACGCAGACCGGGCGCCTGCACACGCACGTGCACACATACGTGCACACGCACACACACATGTACACACACGCACAGGCATGAACACGCGCGCACACATGCACATGTACATGCACACGCACACTCGCACACTCATACACACACACGCACTCAGGCACACCGCACACACGCACCCACACACCGCACCCACGCACCCCCGCCCACGCAGCTTT